TGCCTGTCTTACACAACACTGTTCAGACCAAAACGGACAGTTTGGTGTCACCTTGATAACACATTTCAGTAAGTAGGAAGGACATTGTCATGAGTGGCAATGGCCATTAGGATTGTTTAGCTGCCTGAAGGGACCCTGGCCTCTAGCTGCTCTTTCTGCCTTTGAAAATACTCTGAACGCTTTTGTTCCTGATGTCTTAGCAATGACTATTTATTCTCTCCATTTGTCTTCGTAGCTGAGAATCTCAATCTATGGGAAACCACAAATGGCCTATAGGAACTTAAATTCTCTGGAGTAACTCTCTTGTGGAGGTTGTGGTAATGTGTTGCAATTCAGGAGGCTGTGGAAATGTGGCATTTTCTCCAGTAACTCTTTTCTGAAAATATGAGGAAGATCAGGAGAAGGCCCTAGCTGCCTAGATGCAACAAAAGATAATTATAAAATCAACCTTTTTATCATTGAATGAAAACATTTCCAGAGGACAAGGCAGTAGGAAGCAGTCCTGCAAGCCTATCTGCATCTGGAGTAAGCCAAGTGAAGACAGTGGTGGTGACAGCAAGAGCAGCCATGCGACGCTGATGGCTGAAGACTCTGCTCCCCAAAGCCTCAGTGAAGGTGGCATCATGGGAGCATCTGAGCAGAGATTATTTCTACCCTTCCCCAGCCTTGCTCATTAGGGTCTGTTCACCCCATACAGATGGCTGGTGGAATGTCTACACATCAAGAGTTAACACATTAAAAATACTGTGCTGCACATAGAAACTCATCAGGCTCTCTTCTGTAGCAGAAGAGGGGTTCAGTTGTAAAGGGTCTGATTTTTAATACAATCTTTATTCCAGTAGGAGCATTAGGAGCTGAATATGCCCTACATGTCAGGTGAGAAAACCAGTATACAAGGCTGAAAAATTAAAATAAGACCGATACTTTGGCCCTCAAAATTTCTTCATGCTAAGAACATTGCATTTCTGCTTGTACCAGAGTTGATGGCAAAATTCCTATTGGCTTCAAGCAGCCCTTATTTCCACTCAACTCTAAAATTTGAACTGGAAAATACTTGTTAGATCAGAAAGCCCATTTGAAGAAAATTGCAAAATGTACCTCCCTGTAGAAGATCTGTCCAACTTTTAACAGCTGTTTTGTTTGGTCAAAGGTTTGGGGGAAAATGGACAGGTGATTTTTATGGTGATTGCTTTAATTTTCTTTTTATTATTTCTACTTACAGCCTTTTAACTACAGTCAGGAGTAGTAGAAATATCAGGGTGTGTACTTTGTTTGCACAAATTGCTTATTGTTTTACATGTACAGCTGGTGGGTGTCAGAAAGGAGTGGATGTGGCAATTTCAAGGTATCTCCTGAACTTGAGTGTTTAGTTTCAAGGGACTGCAATCATCCAACCCTGGAAATTACGTTAAGGTGCTGATGTTGAGAAGTATGGGAGAATATACTTAATGCAATCTATCCTTTTAAAAGCTCTGGCTTAGCTAGTGTAATGGAAGTGCTATAGTAGCAGGGCACAGTAGCTCCCTGCATAGTGATGGGCTGGAACTCTGCCTCAGGCATAATTTATGAAGCTAATATATTAATTTTGACTTTTTTTTTTTTTTTTTTTTTAACCAGAGCACATTCATATGTTACCGTGAGCCAAATGAACTTGTAGGCACAGAGATTACCTACTCCTCTACATATATAAACCTACTTACCTTTTTAAATCAGGTTTCCTCTGACCAGACTTGTCATTTCCATAGTGCAAATTAAGGAAATTTTCTTTGTGATAACTTGCCTCTTGGACCATAGCTCAGTGAACAGGAAGACCATTAACAGGCCAAAAGGTAGGGAAGCCATGGTTGTACCCTATCAAAATGGTCAACATTGGCCTAAACTTTGTATTGTTGTCATTGCACGACCTCCAGAAAGTACTATTAATATCATTACTTGTAATTTTGAAGAATTTGAACCCCATGCATCATTCTTAATCTCTCTCTTTCAATGGTATCCTCTCAGGATACAAATGTACACCATTGTAAGGCAGCTCCATTTAACCATACTTCTCATTTAATTCCAGCTCTTGTTCACATCTTCCCCTTTGACATGACCGCTGTCAGGTTCAGAGGAGGTTCCTAGACATCAGTGCTGCCTCTGTGAACAGGGGAAGAGGATGCAACTGGAGGAGTTCTGTGTGTGTGAAGGTTCTGGATTTTCTGGCAGGAGCATGGAATCCTGCTGAAGCATCTTCCTCACCCTCACCCCAAAAAAGCACTGTCTCTTTACTGCAGCAGTTTTGCCAATCCACCTGAGAGGGCATCTCTGGCTAATCCATGTCCCTCTGGAGGATCTGTGCTTACCCTGGGTGCATTGCTCATCACCTCAGTAAGGCTGGAGCGGTCTGTCTATTGGCTGCTGACTTCTAATGTCAGACAAAGCCCATGGTTCTGCTGAGAGACACCTAGTGCCCTTGAGAGATGGGCCACCTGGGAGATCAACAGACAGATAAATCTTTGCAGTATTGGGAAAGTGGTTTGCGGTTACACATTTCAAACTTTATAATTCCCCCTAAAGGCTTTCACAGGTTTCAGGTCCATCTGCCCTATCCTTTTCTCTTTACTTGTCTACAATTTCATTTCTTTGGTGTGGCAGAAGAGCTCATATACAGCAATGATTTTTCCACTTCAGGCAAAATCCAAAGGTCCCTTGAAAAACCTGCCATTGTACCAAGAAAATGATGCTTCACTGTTGTGCCAGGTGCATACTGCTGAGGCTCAGAGCATGGGCTATCTATGCTCCCTCCCTTCAAGAGTCACTTATGTTGATCCTTGATATAGGCAGATCAGACCTAAATAAACTTGCTGAAGAAAAATATATCAATATCTCTACAGCTTTCTGAGCTGTAGGTTATTTGTCTGCTAAGTAGACTACTTGTTTTTTTCTGGGCAGGCAAACCCTCGCTCTTCCATCAGGAAGTCAGTATTTGCATTGTTGCTGGTACAGGAACTCTAAAGTAAGAATTAGTAAAAATGAACTTACAGTACATTAGTTATTGGAGAGTGCCTTGGGGATGAGGGGTTTGGCTGACTGCTATGCAGAGCTTATATGCATGCCCAGTATGCATCCAGCCCATACCAGGGGAAGAGGGGAGATGACTGAAGCCATGGTGTGCCAAGACTTTGTCCTGGAGAGGAAAACTTGACATATACAGTCCAGTTCTTATAGCTACCCTAGAAATTTCTTCCAGGAGTGAAATTTAGAGACTGAGTCTAGTCTGGAGGGAGATGTGTCTCTCCCTGTTTGGTGAGTAGGGCCACCAGCACTTTACACCACTATGGACTGGCTCTGAGTGCAGCCTGATAATGGTTGGTGAGGCTTGCTAGTCACGCACCATTCAGTAACTCATGAAGATTAGGAGGGTGAATAAAACACATCCCCATCAATGCCTTTGCCAAGATCCAGCATGGCTTTATTCAGTCAGAAGTCATTAAGACAAAAAGCCCCCACCCCAACATGGTGGTTTGCCATCCACCATCCATCCTTCATCACCTGCAATTCATTCCAGCTGCACTCCACCCAGTTTGAGGACTTGGGTGCTCTCCCTTAGCTGTCTCTCCCACTCTCAAACCTGAGTGCTTGTGAGCAAATGGAATAGGAGCAGTAGGTGTAGGTGCAATGCTTTCAGTCCCAAAGGTAAGCCTGAGAGTTGCAGATCATGGACAGACCATGCCCGGAGTCACTAGGTAACATGTTGCTGCTGCTAATGGTGATGACGATGATGATGGTTGGACTCGATGATCTGAAATGTCCCTTCCAACCTAGGCAACTCTATGTTGCAATACTGCACAGATTCTAGGAACACGTTCAGTGATTGAGTGTGGACATCAGGCTCTCATCATCTCATAGAGTAACAGCAGTAACTGCAGCTGATTACACTGTAAGCTTTATTTTGCTAAGCAACAGTCTATATCTTAGAAAGCATTTGCTTGAATGTGAATTAGGGAATGGAAGACGATGTAAGAGCTGAATCCTAACCAGTTTATGTGAAAAGCCCCTTGATTTCAGAGAGACCCCTGCAACCAGCTCTTAGCTTTACTTCATCTATATGGTGTCCTAATAGAGGTAAATGTCATTTGCATTTTCTCCTCTGTGGTCCCAGAGCACTGGTTATTCCTTACATTTCTACCCCTATAGAAAAAAAAAATCCATTCTAATTACAAGTAAATGCATTAAGAGACCATTGCAACATGGGGAGCCAGTCTCCATTTCCTTATAATTTTCTTAGACCTGAGGTATGTAACCCAGTTATACTGGTTTTGGACTGGGTCCATGTATCATTAGGAGCACAGAAAACACATTGGGGTGGACTGGGCTGTCTGCTGTGGGGGCAGAGCTGGGAGCTGCTGGGTGTATCCAACCACAAACAGAAGGGTAAGTAAGTCCCAGCTCTCCTGCCATCAGTGGTCATACAGCCCAAATCTGCACCTTTTGCCACTAGATGTACCCAAGGAAATAAAGTTGGGGAACCCAGTTCAACCAGGCACAAAGTCTTGGGGAGGCAGGAGGGCTTCATGGGGGTCAGAAATATTCCTTTTATAGTGAGGGGGACCTCCACACATGCAGAAGTGACCTGCGAGCAGAGCAGCTTCAGCTAGGTCTCACTGTACCAAGTCAGGAGCCACCACTGAGCAGCCCTGAGCTGGATGCAGAATGAAGGTCCCCCTTGGCAGGGGCTGCAGGTCCCTCTCTCTCCCTGCTGCAGTGTGGGCAGCACTGGCTGCCCAGGAGAGAAAAAACAAGGGCTCAATGAGGAGCATCTCTGGTGCTGCCAGGCTGTCTGGGGAACAGGTGGACCCTCAAGGAGAAGGTGAAAACTGCCCTCTGCTGTGAAGCTCTGTGAAGGCCATTAGGAAGTCTGCTCTGAAATGGGCTCGTTAAAATACACATTCACCTTCATTATCCTGCAGCTGCATTGCCTGACTCATCCCACTGCAGTCATTCTGAAACAGGAGGCCAAGTTAAAAACTTTCCCAACTTGGTTTTTATTCACCGGGCAATGTCTTGTCTAACCCACTGAGAGAGCAATGTCTTCACAGGACGCAAATGAAAGGAAACCTGAAAAAAAAAAGAGAGGAAACAAATGAGGTACAGGCTGATTGAAAGACTATTTCACTTTGCCTTTCACAATTTGACAAATGATGCTTTCTCTCATCGATGTTTTTAGTTCTGCTGTAACCCAAGTGGGGCAGGGCACCTCCAACCCAGGTATGTCAACAGTATTCCCTTCTTTCCTCTTCATTTTCCTCAAAACCACAGCAAACTGCCACGTAGCCATGGCTTAGCAGACATGGCCTTGCAGCAGGTTTTGGCTGGGATCCCTGCTCTGACTCCTGATCACACTGCACCTCTTCTTCTCCCCGGTGGCAGATGGAGACTTGCACTCAGCCAGTCTCTTGCCAGCATTGTCCCCAGACACAGACCTTTGCTGGGTGGCACATGGATGGATACAGCATGTGGAGGGTTTGTAGACCCCTTTGGGGGGCCAGGGGGACGCACTGCCCTGCGCTGATTTCCTGCTCCACCAGCTCCCAGGGGGCAGAGTGTCCTGTGGGCATCTCCATCTCCTTCACACCCAGACCGTGCTTAAAGGCATGTGCGTCCCCAGCCTCCCCCTGCCAAATTGGAAACTTCACAGCTTCAGCCCACCTCATCCAAGCCGGTAACTTTCTCCTGCACTTTTATACACAGACATGATCTCACCATTACATTGCTTTTAGCTGCAAGAAAATGTCTCCCTCTTACTGTTTTCTTCTTACTGACTGCCTTCCTGGGCAAAACATCCTTTGCTTTAAATAGATGGGGTGACCCAAATACTATTGTGAATGATTATTCAAGGATGAAGTACAGACTCTAGTAAAATGATTTTTACAAGACAGCTCAAATCAATATGATCTCTCTAATTAGTAGTTTCTAGAAAAACTATGTGCTACATCATTCCTATTACATTCATCATTTGGCTCATTTTTGCTATATTTGTTCATGTGGTACATTATCAAGTATCTGAAGCGTTTGCTCTGTTGTCTGGACTGCACTGATTTCTTCTGGAACAAAGTGTAGCTTAGAAATCCTCCACTGTGGATTTTTGTAATGAATATTTTACAGTCGACCACTTGTTACTAATGAGCCTAATTTTACTTGTGCAACTCTTTTTATAACCTTTACTCTTAAAAAATAATTGGGAAAATTTACAATGGTAATTGAAGTGTTTATTAACTGATGGCCTACTTGCAAGATTACACGGAACATGGCATTGCAATTTAGACCATTTTTCAGCTTTGTATAGGAAAAAAATACCTGCAAGCATGGAAGCCAACATTTTTCACAGCACACCTCTGAATTTTCTTTTTTATTGCAGACTGTCTGCTGTGGTACAGCAATGATTTTAACAGAAGATTTACTAAAAGCCTGAAATCTAAATTTAATTTAAAGTCTAAATGCTGCACATGATTAAAAATGTATTATCAGTTCCCAGCAAATCATATATCATTGAAAAACTAATGTTTTGCTAATTTTAAGCACCATCTAGTGAGTCAAACATTAGATCTGATCTTCCAAATTGCATTTGAGAAAAATAAGATCGTGGCTTCACTGCATCCCACCTCATGCTAGGTCTCTTCCTGAGACTCATAAGTTAGCTGTTTAGTCACTGCCTGCTCTCTTGCTAATGGACATTAAATACTCCTCCAAAGGTGCTGAAGACCAGAGCTGCTGTCTGGAGTTAATTTGTCTGTTGACAAAGGAGGGTACTGGCTGAGTAGGCTCCCTGGCTAGACAAAGCTAACTGCCTAAAAGTGAAGCAGGGAGAAACCTCATTTCAATAATGAGAATATTTCTTTGTCACTCCAGAGCAAGGAACTGGAAAAGATTTGGCTTTGTTTCAATTATAAGTAAAAGAAAAAAAAATCTCCGGGCAAATAAACGGCTTTATAAGGATCATGATTCTTACTATTTCTATTAGCTAGCTTGCCATGAAGATGAAGTAGGTCTGAGAGGGACTCGCACAGCAAATCTGCATACAATTATAGGACCTGCTTGTCTGGCACTGGCATTAAATCAGTTCAGTTAAATCATCACTGGCTCCTGTGGCAACGCGCTGTAATCAGCTGGCAACTGACCTGTATAGACTGCAGGCCATATGCAGAATTTATTTGGAGAGGAAGTGATGCACAACCAGTTTGGTCAACTCTGCATCACTCTGGGCACAGGCACGTTTAGCCTGAGCCTCGTTTGGCCTCTCGGAGGTTACAGAGCTTGCAGTCAGTGCTGCGCTGGTTCTTCACGTGTGCCAGCAAAACTGGTGCAAGCCTGAGCAGGGTCTGGCCTGGCTTTGCTGAGGAAGAGGAAAAGGCATGTTGCTTTTGCCCGGGAGTGCATCACTTAATGGGGGGAGTGTGTTTTGGCTGCTGCTGGCAACACTCCCAGTTGCCCAAGCCACATCTCTGACCCCTTTCTGGTACACCCGGATCTGGGGAAAGCAGGATTTATTTAAGTATGTGCCCTCAGTCCCAGTTTATGGCTTACCATCATACACAAAGCACTTTACCAGTGCTGTTGGCCATGTCTCAATGACAGAAGACCAGTACAGTTTCTGTGTGTCGGGGGGGCGTCACGTGCCAAAGGGTCTCTCCTGATGATGGGTCCCCAGCTGCCTGCCAGGCAGTGGCTCTCCCCTGGCTTCTGCTGCACTCTGGGTTGGGGCACTACATCTGCTTGGGGGGGCCACACAGTGAGGAAGGCTGAGGACCTGATCCAGGCTGCAGAGACTTCTCTGCTCTTGTATTTTTGGATTTGCCTCACTTGTCTCTCAGCATCAGTTCCCGACATAACCTCCCAGATCCCCACCTCAGAGCAATTGTGGCAGCGCAGGCGAAGGGCTGATGGAGGACAGGGACTGTCAGTGAAGAGGAGGTGGTGCCAGGATTTGTTTATGCCAGAACTGCTGCAGAAGTGCTCCTCAAACTCAATCCTGCACTGAAGGCACAACCCCCCCCCCCCCCGCCCCCCCCCCCCCGCTTCTTCCCCCCAAAGAAAAAAAAAGAAAAAAAAAGATAAGCCGAAGGTGTTTTTGGTTTAAGAGC